TAAGGAAAAAACTCTCGAAAGCTAGATTACATTTGTTTTTACCGTGTGTATTGTCCAATTCTTTATCGGCATTGAATTGGTATAATTATTCAACTATATGTGTCTGGAATTATATCAATCTCAGCTGTTATTTACTTTTATATACGTTTTTTTTTAAATTAAGGTTGTTGTGTTGAAATGAAGGTGATTTGTGGAGAGGAATAATTGTGGTTGGTGGGAGTTGTGATTGATCGGAGGCCTTCTATTACGTCAGATTGATTGATTGATTGATTGGGGTTTGCAAATGCCGGAGGAAGACTTGGTAGAGCTTAAGTTCCGATTGTATGATGGATCCGACATCGGCCCCTTTCGATACTCGCCGGCCGCCACTGTGGCCATGCTCAAGGAAAGAATTGTTGCTGAGTGGCCCAAAGGTTAGCAGTTTTTTTAACACCTTTCTATAAGTTATGCAGTGTATGCCTTATATTAGTTCCTTACACAAATATGTCCCAGGAGAGAAAATTCTTTGATGCCATGTTAGATGATTCAGAATTATACTGCGTGAGGTTTTGTTTCTTTAAATTCGGAGGGGAAAACTCCGGGAGTTTGTAATTGATCTTGAATATATTTCAGTTCTTGATGTAACAAATGCCTTGGCCTTGCACTAATTGCAACTCCACCTTTTTATGAGTCAGGCTTTTGTAATCCACTGATAATCTGGGGATTCAGAAACCAGGTTATGTTGTTACAATCATCAAGCATATTGTCTATTTTATTTTCTGCAGCTCCACCTTGTTCGAGTCTTGATTACTGTAATCCACTGGTAATCAAGGAATTCATAATGCAGATTACCTCTTATCATTCGCTGAAATTCTTGTCTAGTTTTTCCCATTCTTCTGATGGGTGAACATTGATGTCTATTTGAAAACTTTATTGGCCTTTAGTTTTGTTTTGAAATTCTGTTTGAGTTTCTATAGTTACTTCATGTAATCATTCATTGCGATAAATCCGGGACATAGCATTCTACTCTATCTTGAGTTGTATTTTTCTAAAAATCTTATTTTATTGTCTGTTTTTTCTGCTTCAATTTCCTTTTGTACTGCCTTCAATTGAACCAAATTAAATAAATAAATATTGAAGTCACTGGTTGTTTTTGCCTGGATAAAATGCAATATGAGCGTAGAAGTGGAACTTAAATACATGAAAAGAGGGCATACTAATGGCACCCTAACATTCCTTATTGTTCCTTCCATGATGCACAAGCGTTCTTCAAATGTTTGCAAGATGACAGCTTCTAGTCTTTTTTGAGAGTTAGTTTCTATTTCCTGTAGCTCTAAGCACCCAATACATCTTTCATAGGTAAATGGTTATGGATGTTCTTTTTAGAGCCTAACTCCTTTTGGCATAAGATAATTTGGGGTAAGTATGACCTTCAAAGGAATTAGTGGGATACTAAATCAGGGCACAATGTAACCCATATGAGCACTTGGAAGTTCATTTCACAGGTTTTCCCTTCTTTTCTTACTTCAACTCGGTAAAAAGTTGTAGATGGATGATGGATCTGAGAGATACGGACTCTTATACTTTGAATTTTCATTTCTTTAGACATCTGAATGACTGGAAGCTGCCGATTTGACTTTTTGCTTCACATTCTCCCTAATTTCCGCCATTGTTTTTTCATGATGGTAGATTTTGGACCATGTATAAATTTAAAACTTTCTCTTGCAAATCTTTTTACCCACGTTTTGTTAGCCCCCCAGAACACCGAGTCTTTCTCCTCATCTAATTTTATTGGAAAGTCAAAGTTACATAAAAATTAGGGCGTTTGTTTGGTTTGTTTTCCTTAATTATACGAACACTAATGATATGTTGCAGATTTGGAGACTCTATACAGCCATGAGGCCAGTTATTTGTCTTGCTTGTTTGAGTAGTGGAAAGTTGAATGCTTATGTATGGGGCTTGTGAAATAAATCATTATTGCTGACCGGTGATGCTTGGGTTTGGCCTTTTACAGCAGAAAAAATGTTGTAGATTAAGTTTTGAGGTTTTGGAAAAGTAAAGGAAGTAAAAGTATTATGAAATTGTGCATTGATATCATTTCTTTGGTGATATGGAAGGAGAGGAATGGAAGTATTTTGATAATCATTATCTTCCTTTCCAATTAGTGGGGGAAAGAATTGGTTTCATGGCTTCACTTTGGACCAAAGCCACCAGGGAATTTTAGAGGGTTGTCTTTGTCAAATCTCCATTGGAATTGGAAGGCGGCTCTGCATTAATTTTTTCGCTTATGGTTTCTCCTTGATATGTGTTTTGATTTTATTTTCTTTTGAGGATGTGCTGTCCCTTTCTCTAATAAATTATTCTTTTATATAGAAAAAAAGATAATTTTAACCCACATTGTCAGGTGTGTGAATTGTCAGATCTAATCCACACCATCATACAGAGAATCAATGTCCATAGCTGTCAAGGAAGCTCTTGGAAACGTTAATAGAGGAGCCGAGAACCTGCCAGCTTAAAAATAGTCAATATTAGATTTATTCAAAGATCCGCAAAATGCCTCCGGATTTAAGCTGACTTTGATTGCTAATGGAGCATCCATCAGTGCAAAATTTCAGCTTGCCTTGTAAAAATGGCTTGAAATTCCATCACCATGTACACTGTAAATATTGCAATATTGGTGGAATAATTGCCCATAAGACTGGAGGTGCTTCTCTTCAAATTCTTCTAGTTGGGCCTAGGTGTACCTTAAACATATTTTTGGGGGGCTTAACGACAATTACTAATGATATGAATGATTATGGTCATAAATTGAAATCTTATGAAAAACTGTAGGAATTCCTTTATGAGGTTGGTTTCTTTTTTTTTTTTTTGCCATGATAATTTGTCAGACTATTGTTTCTTCGATAGGATGGATTTTCACATGATTTTGTTGTTAGGAGGACATATTGTTGTTAACAATAAATAGTTTTTGACTCCCACTATATTGGGAGGGGCACCTCTCTGAGATTTCTCAGGTGGCAAAGCCAAGTGCAGGGTCAAATTATGTTTTTATCATGCTGGGGACTGGGCAGAGGCCCTTTCACATTTGAGAATGTAGCTCCAGGCCAAGGGCTTCGAGTAAAGGTTGAATGTAGTGAGGGATGCAGAGAGGAGGGTTCTTTATGAGGTTAGTTTCTTGGTTTTTTTTGCCACGATAATTTGTCAGACTATTGTTTCTTCGATAGAATGGATTTTCACATGATTTTGTGGTGAGGACATATTGTTGATAACAAGAAATAGTTTTTGAATCCCACTATTTTGGGAGGGGCACTTCTCTGAGATTTCTCCGGTGGCAAAGCCAAGTGCAGGATCAATTTATGTTTTTATCGTGCTGGGGAGTGGGCCGAGGCCCTTTCACATTTTCAAGTAAAGGTCGAACGTAGTGGGGGATGCAGAGAGGAGGGTTCTTTGAGCTGTATGTTAACCAGGATGTTTAAATTGTTGGAGGATCTTAAAGAAGTGTAACATGGAACAGTTGGGTGTGCTAGAGGTGTGAAAGGCCTAGGCTTTATAGGCTACTATAAGCTACGGCTGCAACTCTGACCACTAACAATTTTAGCGGGAATTTGATAGTAATGCAGCTGTAGTTACTTTTCTATATCTTAAGACTCTGATTTCTCTTCAGTATTTTTTATGCTCGTTCTGGCAGACACCTTTGTAGAGTTGAATACTTATCATTTTCGGGACTTGCTTGATGCTTTTAGCATTCTCTTTTGCCAAATATCTTCATGTTTTAACCACCTGTTCTTGCTGCCAATATTTATCCGAAGAGTTGAGAAGGCATCATGATAGTCGGCAATCTATGGTTGTTGTATTATATCATGTAATTACGTTCAACTATTGTGGCCATGCCTCAAGTTTTTTATTGTGTTTTATTAGGATTATGGATGTGATACAAATGTTCATTTAGATATATCATGTGTAATCATTGCCTTGCTGCTTTATCAGTTTTTTTATAGTCACATATTGACAGGGTTGTTAGAATTTCCAGTTTTTTGTCCTTGTGCCCCAATATAATAAATAACATAATCTCTCTGCATCAAAAGTCCTGAATTCACCTCATCCTGGAATGATGAGCATTTAACTTCCTCAGCCTTGATTTGTTGTGCTCTTTGTCATGCTAGAAAGTAGGATAAGGGCTTTTAAATTTCATTGGCAACCCACATCTTCTTCTTTCATCCTCTTGTTTGTGTTCTTCCTCCTTTTAGCTGCTTGGTTTTGTGATTCCTATTCTAATTTTGTTTTAGATAAAAAAATTGTGCCGAAGGCAGCGAATGATGTGAAATTGATAAGTGCTGGGAAAATTTTGGAAAACAACAAGACCGTTGGCCAGTGCAAAACGCCTTTTGGTGACCTTCCAAAAGGGATAATCACCATGCATGCTGTTGTACAGCCGTCTTTGGCAAAAGCAAAAACAGGTAGTTTCCATCTCACCTTATACATGTTTCAGTGAGATGTTGTATGCATTCCCATATTTTAACTCTCTGTTGTGGCATGCAAGGAAATTAGGCTATAGCCTATATGCAATTGAATCATTAATGTAGGCTGTATGCTGCATACAGAACAGTTGAACTGTATGCATTGGGTGAATCAGTTTGCTTATAGTTGTCCAATTGTCAGCCACAAAGCGCCAAAGTTCTGTCCCAAACCCCAATGTGGTGATTTGTTATTCTTTGCATATTCCATTCTTGTATTTTGTGTGTTATCAAGTTACTGTTCGGCATTTAATGTGAACTAATATATTTAACTTGATTTATTGGACTCCCAGAAGAAGAAAGATGAAACAATATTGCATCTTGTTAGAGGTGGAGATTCCTAACTGTGTTCTGTGCGTAGACTATAGACAACATAGACACCTTCATTCTTTCAGTCAGGTTGATAAAATCTAGTTATTTGCATTCCCATCTTTGACTATATGAGAATTCTCTTTCTTGGGTTACTATAGTGATCATTTAGTTATTGGGGACAGCTGTTCGTGGTGAAGGAGATGCTCTAAATTTATNTAACTATATGAGAATCCTCTTTCTTGGGTTACTATAGTGATCATTTAGTTATTGGGGACAGCTGTTCGTGGTGAAGGAGATGCTCTAAATTTATAGTAACTGGCTAATCAGGAAAACATTCGGTATCCGTAACTTGCAAGCATGTTTGATTTCTAATTTTAATCATTTAGTCTGGCTTTCTCTAGTTTGTGATCTTGTGGTTGCTCTATTTTCTTAGAGAAACTTTACTATTTGAGTGCTGACCAACATTGTTGGTGGGCAAATGAGTTGCTAAATCAATATTAAGAATTGGACAAGAAAAAAACTCAATTCCAATCACGAGAGGCCTATGCCAAGCTTTGGCATGTGGAGCTTCTTTTTTCTTTGGACTTGGACAATGTTACAAATTGGTCCAAGAAAGAAGCTTCTCTCTCTTCGCTTGATTGCTAAGGCCCAGATGAGGGAAAGTCTGTCTTGCTATTTTATTGGAGGATGATATCCTAGGTAGTGCCAAATGAGAAGAAGGATNGAAAGAAGCTTCTCTCTCTTTGCTTGATTGCTAAGGCCCAGATGAGGGAAAGTCTGTCTTGCTATTTTNAATTGGTCCAAGAAAGAAGCTTCTCTCTCTTCGCTTGATTGCTAAGGCCCAGATGAGGGAAAGTCTGTCTTGCTATTTTATTGGAGGATGATATCCTAGGTAGTGCCAAATGAGAAGAAGGATTTGTTGAGCTAATCAAAGCATTATAGAGATAAGTTTTTATTTATTGAGTTGATTTGAGTTTATTAAGTGTTANTATCCTAGGTAGTGCCAAATGAGAAGAAGGATTTGTTGAGCTAATCAAAGCATTATAGAGATAAGTTTTTATTTATTGAGTTGATTTGAGTT